CTGATGGTTGAGGGGACCCATACTCTGCCAACATGTGAAGTAAATCCCACCTTTTTGTCCTGAAATGGATTATTATGTGCAGACTGAGTATATTCTACGAGAGAAAAAGGACCAATTGTAGGTACAGTACAATTATATAGATGCTAACTAAAATTTTGTGTTTTTATCCACCAAATTTCCACTTAACATTTTTTTCTTCCATTCGCCAGTTTCAACCAAGTGTTTGATGCTTTTTGCCAGCCCACCAGGGCCTACCCTTGCCAACCCCCTACCCCAAATTGTACTCTGTTTCTACGGTCTTTGCCTCACATATGCCTCTAGCAAAATTTTCGCCTCTACACCTTTAATTGAATTGATGATTTCTGCTGCTATTCTGTTGATACAGGATTACCACATCTCATCTGTTTGGATACAGAAGAGACTGATCCCATTGCATATGGAGGACCCTTAGATCTCTCAAAATCACAGGATGGGATTCCTACCTTGGTTTTGGGTTTTTCAGGTAAGTTCTCAACAATTCCTCTCAGAATTGGAGCTATCCCAATATAACTTTTGAATAGAAAGTTACAAAAAAAAAGGGAAAAAAAGAAAAAGAAGAGTAGAGGGAGAGAGAGAAGAAGATAAGATAAAATTAATGAAATTAATATTTTTTTCCACGCACATGTGATGAGTTTTAGCCAAAATGTGTCAATTTTCGTTGGAGGGGAGAAGATAAGGTTGACAGCATTCAGCGTTTAATTTTCTTAACTACCTAGTTGAATTTCTACATTTTATTATTTAATACATTATTGGATGTGAACTACTGATGGTTAAGGAGACCCATACTCTATTGACATGTAAAGCAAATCCCACCTTTTTGTGCTAAAATGGATTAATATATGCTGAATGGGTATATTCTACAAGAGAAAAAGGACAAATTGCAGGTACAATTCAATTAAATAAATGCTAAATAAAATTGTCTTTTTATCGCCCAAATTTCCACTTGACATTTTTTTCTTCCATCTGCCAATTTCGACCAAGTGTTTTACGCTTTTTACCAGCCCACCAGGGCCTACCCGTGCCAACCCCTTACCCTAAATTATACTCCCTTTCTACAGTCTATCCTTCCCATATGCCTCTAGCAAAATTTTCGCCTCTGCACCTTTAACTGAATTGATGATTTCTGTTGCTATTTTGTTGATACAGGATTTCCACATCTCATCTGTTTGGATACAGAGGAGACTGATCCCGCTGCATATGGAGGACCCTTAGATCTCTCAAAATCACAAGATGGGATTCCTGCTTGGTTTTTGGGTTTTCAAGGTAAGTTCTCAACAATTCCTCTCAAAATTGGAGCTGTTCTAATATAAATTTTGAATAGAAAGTTAGAAAAATAAAAAAAGGAAAAAAAGAAAAAGGAGAGTAGAGATAGAGAGAAGAAGAGAAGATAATTTTAACGACATTAATATTTCTTCCA